GTAAAAGCAGATTTCGGGTGTAAAAATTAACAATATTACATATAGTGATATTCATGGAACATCAGCAACAGAAGTTGCGATGAAATTTCTCTGTAGCAAAGCGCATCCATGCAGTGGGATAAGATTAGAGGATGTAAAGCTCACTTACAAGAATCAACCAGCTAAAGCATCATGTGCCAATGCCAGTGGAACCTCTTCTGGCATCGTTCAACCCATGAGTTGTTTGTAGGCAAATAAAAAAAAATTGATTTATTTTATTTTACCTTCTTCCAAATGTTCTCAGCTAAGATATTATATCAAATTTATGTATGAATGTTTTTGTATTGAAAGATTCGTTTTGGTTGAGCCTATGGGGATGTCAGCCAATTGGGTTTCGAGCTTGGACTTACAAGCAGTATTGTCTAAACAACTTATGAATCTCTTATTTGGAAAGTACTTTAAATATTATGCTTTTGATCTACAAAATTGAGTACACATTTAGTTATTTTTTCCTCTATCCATCTCTTCAAAAGTCAATTTCTTCCTTTGTATTTTTTTTGTTGATCCCAATTAACAACAATGGAACAACGCAACGGCTAACTTAAAAGTCTAGCATTGATTGGCTAGTCTTAGAATTGGGGTATTGCACTAGCCAATAGTAATCAACAAGATAGTTCGTTTAAGAATAAAATCTTTACCCTAGCTAACATCCTTGGAAATGTCATGGCAACCAATATATTCTACAAGTCCTTTGATATTTTGCTCTCATAGATGTACTTATTGTTGTTAGGCGGGGAGTTGCAATTTGCACACATAGTACTCTTAAATTCAGTTAATAAAAATTAAATTTTTATTACAATTTTACCTTTGAATGCAATTATCATTAAGGATAAAATTACAAAAAAATTAAAATATAAGTGCACCCACCCTCCCACCTACCCCACTAGCAGAAAAAATTGATTACTAACAAGTAACATCAAATAGTTTAGTAGGAGTTTCTTTTCCCTGCCCAAAAAAAAAAAAAAAAAACTTTCTATTAATAATAATACTCAGATGGGATATCACTACAATAAAAATATACTAGTGGCATATTTTTAGAAAATGCCACAAAAAATGATATTTAGTGGCACGTTTTTAAAAAATGTCACAAAACGACAACCATAAAAGGCTCTAGTGATATTTCAATGAATAAGTGTCACAAAACTATAACAAAAACATACTTTAGTGGCACTATACTAGTGGCACATTTTTAGAAAATGCCACAAAAATGATATTTAGTGGCACGTTTTTCAAAAATGTCACAAAACGACAAACATAAAAGGCTCTAGTGACATTTTAATGAACAAGTGTCACAACACTACAACAAAAACATATTTTAGTGACACCATACTAGTGGCATGTTCTTAAAAAATGTCACAAAAAGAATATTTGGTGGCATTTTTTAGAAAAATGTCATAGAGCCACAAACATACAAGACTCTAGTGGCATTTCAATTAAAAAAAGTGTCACTTCACCACAACAAAAATGCCATTACAACAAATTTATACTTTAGTGACACTACACTAGTGGCATGTTTTTAGAAAATGCCACAAAAATAAAAATTGGCATTAAATATTTTAGAAAAATGCCACAGAACCACAAACATATAAGGCTCTAGTGGCATTTCAATAAAGAAATGTCACATCAATTTTATGGCATTTTATAAAATAATGACACAAAAAATTATGTTCGTGACATTTACTAACAGATGCCACTAAACTTTAGCAGCAATGGCATTTTTTAAAAAATGTCAGGACACTAGGTAGGTGCAAATAGGCTTGTTCCGCATTGATTTGGTGGGAAGTTTTGAATGGGTTTATAAGGCATGGATTTGGTACTTGGGGTATGTCCCAAGGGGTACTCAAGTGTTTTAGAGAGGGAGGTTATGGGTTACGGGTTA